ATTTCCTAGAGGTTTGACGACTTTTTATACAAAGGATAACGAACGTTATTAGAATTCAGGATGAAACAAGCCTCTTAAAGACTCAACCATGTAACCGTCTCTTCTTCAAATTACTCCCTGTTATGATTATCTCGCATCTCCGCTTCTCCTAGCTTTATGTTTCTGCACCTAGTGTTTATAGCACTGTAAACAACAACTACTAAAACAACAAATGTAGCTGGACAGCGAAAACTTAGACAAATTTGATTAGAAACTAAAGGAAATATTGTACCCCCTTTATTTTATTTCATGTTTAGTCTTCACTGGTGAACTTCTAAGCGTGTTTCGTCGCGTTTGTTTAGTTGGAAAAAAGGTATCTGGATTGTATCGAGTTGCTGCAGGGTTTCTAAATGCTTTTGCTTAAAAAGTTCAGTTCTTTTATGGGTCTGTAATGAGAAGAATGTTCTGCATACAGCTAACATACACAAGTAACTTTGAATAAAATAGGATGTTGGTTTGTAAACACTTACTTCGTCAAGTAAAGGTTCTGGTGGAGGTTCGAGACGGAGAGCTTCACTTTTATACTCATTATTAACATAATAACCAACACGTATGAATTCTTTATCTCTATACAAAGCTTGTATAAGCACAACGGTTACACCAACAATATCTTCAGCGGGAATTAACTTAGGATCAGGAGCACTAGCTTCAAAGGAAAATTGATGTCGACCAACTGGAACCGGACCGACTAGAATCGAATCCAATGTCTGATCCAAAGATGAGTTGTAGGCACTACTAACGTACACCAACCTCCATTCCAAATCTGAAAATAATGATTAGTGGGAAAACAACAGAATATAACTTCAAATGGATACATCAAAGTGACTTCACTCTTCCAAACATTGCACCATAATATTTTGACACCAAGTCGAACATGCAAGTAAGCAGTCAAATAATTAGGCTCTCTCTCTCTGGTCATTTCAGAATAGGCAAACGAACAATATTTCAGTGTCCTTCAACTGGCAAAAGCTAAGACGTTTGCATCACAGTACAAGCAACAGTTTCCGATTGAAGGACTATCAGGAGGATGCAAAGATATTTATCAAGCCAAGTACCGTATGTAAATTGAACACGAAAGTTGGCTTATTTCAAAACTAATCTGATAACATCCGTTTTGTTAACAAAAAACCCTTTGGACTTTTCATAATAATTACGAAGTCAGTTTTGCGATGTTATACACGACCAAACTCATTTTGTCCTAGTCAGAAACATTATATATATATATATATATATATAGCTTGGAACAAAGAATGAAACCCCAACACACTATTAGAGTCGTCGGAACTATAGATGCGCCCGGTCAACGCAGCCAAATGCACAACGATGCGCATTGGACGCACAAGCGTCAGTTCCTACGAACTAGAGGGAACAACACTCCTACTAGTTCAAACTCATTTGGATTTAGGTGTCACAGTAAGTCACGACTTAAAAACTACAGCGCACTGTAGTGCGGTTGTAGAGCTTTATGGGCGATTCTCAGGGCCTTGACTAGAATCACCAGAGATATGTTCAGCTCTTTACATACATCTCTGGTAAAGTCAAGACTGGAAAACTATATCCAGGCAGCCATTCCTTGTCTCAGAGGGGACTCCTATAATCTAGAAAGGGTTCAAAGGAAGGCAACATGTATGATTCTTGGCATGACTAATTCATTATACGAGGAGGTACTGAACAGTTTAAATTTCTTTTCCCTATCATACCGCAGTTGGAGGGGAGGTCTCATTACAATACTTTAATTTTTTTAAACAACCACTACGGATAAGATTCATTTCCCCTTATCCTTCCCCACATGTTCGATACAGCAGAAGAGTTCAAAAGCCAGAGAGAATTTATATGGCTGGGGAGTACTTCGTTCCCACACCAAGTTACCAAATCCTGGAACCGACTCCCAGTAGAAGTGGTATCAGCACTCTCAGTTGACTAGTTCAAGAAGGGTATAGATAAGCAGAGAAATATACTAGGAAGGGGTTAACATAGGTTTCAAGCCTTCTATATTCAATAAACAAATTTCATTGCCCTTTGGACACTTGCAGTGCAGAATAGCTAGTTTTTAAGTACTCAATGAGACAGAAATCTTTTGTGAAGCGATAAAAATTTGCCAGGCTTCCGGCGGGACACTCATTCACATAATGAATATCTTTTGATTTGCGTCTTTTATTACGTGCTTCCTTGGAGTGTGGAGAGTTGGTACCAACTTGTGGCTTCTTAAATCAATCCCTGAAGTTTGAACAGGTGTAAAGAATTGTAACTCGGCCACCTGAAGTGAAAATAATTGGACTTTTGTTATGAACATATTTCTAACATCCTACTTAGTGAGACGAGTAGATACTGGTGGATGACAACTCGTAAATTCTTTCATGTGAGCAATCGCGCTGTGTACTGCGTTTATATTATGCCTTGGGTAAGTAATGAGGTAATACGCTCTGACTGCGTCATGTCATGACAGACGATGTGCATTCATTACGTCTATCGCCAGAAAATACTGCATTGACTGATACCTGGATGACTACTTATGATAGAACAGATCTCCAGAAGGCATAGAAATGGGCGTATAATTTACAGTCACTTACATTACAGCAACTTCAAACGAGGTAAGTTGCATCTGCTGGGATTAAATTCTCTTGAATGAGTGTGTACTCAATACACAGTCTTCAATCATGGGGGATAAACGCGGAAGCGACTCACTTGGACGTATCGTGCAGACCTTGGTTGATAAATAATTCAAGAGCTTCGGATGGCTAGCTTTGGTGACACCTGCAACTAATCTGTGGTAAACTTGAATAGATTTCCAAGGCGATCTGAAAACAAATCCATCTAAGCAAGGTGACAATCTGCTTGTCTCTAAATCCCTCGCTACAGCAGCTGGGACAATCAGCAACTTACTTAAAAGCAAAATAACGTCTGAATAGTTATACCAGTCACCTTATATTCATCGTAACGATAAGAACCAGACAAAAAGGATGTTTAGGTATGAGATGGCTATCGAATGAAACGGTGCGTATCAAAGAACATTTGTTGTTACATCTACCAGTAGAACCTACCATCATCAAGTGGCTCGTGACATTCAAATGTTATTTTAAACTTGAAGGGATCAAAAAATGAAGCTGGATTTTCCAAGACTTCTACATTGCATATGTTGACTTTCGCCATAACGTGCAATCAAATTCAAGCACTAATAGGCACCAACGGACGAATGGCCTTGAACACTACAACCACATGAAAAAATGACTTTGAGTATAAAATACAAATATTCATGAAATAATGAGTTGAAAGGCATAAAACAATTGCACAAGGTGCTCTGGCAATAACAGGGATGTCGGCGGCCTATTTTCTCATCCCACATATTGCATCTATTTTCTCGTATTTATTTTGTTTTAATTATTCATTTATGTGTCTGAATCGTGTTACTTACTCTCGAGATTATCTAAAATGTTTTCAACCTGATGATTTACGAGTATATAATAACCTTAAGAAAAAGCATCATAGTGGGTGGCAAAGATCATTAAAGTGTACTTCAATGTATCAGATAACTGTCCCTGTGATTATGAGCACAAATTGCAGGTCATTATCGAACAAGATTAACTACTTCTCTATTACGCTCAAATGTATATTGTAATACTGGTGTAATAACTCTTTTAAGAAACTTGGATCCACGACTCATATGACGATAATTTAGTCTCCTTAAGTGGTTTCACAATGTACAGACAAGACCGATGAAGCCCAAAGAAGAAGAGAGGTGGTGGTGCTGCCACTTTTATTAATTCTCAGTGGTCTACATCTGCTTCAAATTCTCAAATGACAATATTGATTGTATAACCGTCAAATGTCGACCTAAACACTTTTCTAAGCATAGCTTCATTTTTGTCACAAATATCTATATCACACCTTGTCGCAGTCCCTCGGAACTATTGACGTTCGCTGATGAATTCGCTATTTTTGCTGCTGCTTCATTTGCTAACTCCTTGTCTGCAGTGACTGGAGACTTCAATAACTGCGGCTGTAGTTTTATTACATTGCTGGGCCATGAAAATGATGTTAACTCCCCAACTCGACAAGATACTTCACTTGATTTAGTATTTATAAATGATTCTGGAATATACGAAGCTCGTAAAAGAGCTCCGCTTTTCAATTCTGATCACTGTATTGTACGAGTCATACCCAAAATTTACTAAAAGTAACAGAGCAAAGCCTTCTCAAACTTGTCCAAGAAAGTTGTTCACAGATGTTACTCAAATGAGAACGTACATCATCTTAGAAACATGGTCAGTGACACAAAATAGGATCTGTTTAATGATGATTCACTCGATGACACTATCTCTAATATTACATCCTATCTGAAATTCCTTTTTGAAATCTGCTGTCCAAAAGAAACGCTATTCGTCAAATTTGACAGTTTCTCCTCGTCTCAACTTAAAAAGCTTCGTAGAGAGAAGGAAAAACTAAATAAAATGAAAGATAAAAGTGGTGTTAATAGAACCAACTTCTTAATTAAGTCTGAAATGCAGAGGTTGGATGTAATGTATAACCATGAATTCATATCCTGCAAAAATGCTTCTAATGTTAGGAGACTATTTAAGGAAATCACTGGTGGTAAGCAGATAAACAATATTCCATATTCTTTTGATTTATGTACTCTTAATAAATCTTTTATTTACTCTCCCTCAAATGGCATGCTTCCCAGCATCACTTGTGTTATTAATAGACCATTTCCAGGTTTTAACACAAATCATGTTCAAAAGTGCCTCAAGTCTCTAAACCCTCCCCAGAGCTTATGTCCAGATTATATACCTAGCATTATTTTTAAAAAGTGTTCTGATATTCTGTGTCACCCCCTCACTGATTTGCTTAACAAATCTTTTTCCAGTAATATTGTGCCTGCCGTTTGCAAGGACATCAAAGTTGTACCCATACCCAAATTATCTACTGGAGCATGTGTCAAATTTAGACCCATTGCTATTACCTCTCCTTTTATGGAAACTATGGAGAAATTGCTTTTACTTAGCCTCGTACCTTCACTTAAATCCTCAAATGACCATAAACAATTTGCCTATAAGCACAGTAGAAGCACTTTAGATGCAGCTGCCGTCTTATATCATAACATTGCTTTCAGTCAAGACAAGGGGGCTAAATTTGTTCGTTGTGCCATCCTAGACTGTACATCTACTTTTGACTCGGTCCCTAGGGACATCTTATTAAATAAACTTGCTGCAAGTCAAACAGAATGTTGGGCTGTTAACTGGTTACTTTCCTATTTCTCAGGAAGAAAGCAGTACACCGTGTATAAAAGGGAAGTCCTCCACTTCATTGCCTACTGAAGCTGGTGTCCCTCAAGGCGCTGTCCTTTCTCCTTTTCTTTTTTCTTTCTTCTTGCATGACTCGCCTCACTCTGATGAAATAAACTTTGTGAAGTACGCTGATGATTTAACGGTTTCAATGGCTGTTAACTCCCAGCTAGATTGTACCAGAATAAATAGCTTTCTGTCGGGAGTCAGTAAATGGTCTGAGTATAACGGTTTTAAACTGAATCCTCCTAAATGTCAAACTGTTAATTTCAGCTTAAGATGTAAACGACAGTTAAAAGAAGTCATCGATTCTCATGAGAGTAGTAAGATTGACGGCAATGATATAGGAATCAAATCAGAAATAAAGTATCTTGGATATATTCTCTCTTCTGATCTCTTCTGGTCTTCCCATCTCCTAGCGATCTCCAGTAAAATACACCGCCTGTGTCAATCACGTCTCATAAACCGTTAATGCCCAGCTCTCGCTACGCTCGGGCCCACGCTGTTCCTTTGAGTTTTCAGAAACGCTTAGTTATAACGGACGCAAATACCAAAACACCGATCTGCCGCTTGTTATTTCTTTATTGTTACACCAACATATAAAAGGAATAAACGAACTAAGCAAACTAAGGTCTGAAAACAAATATTACAATAATAAATCATTGTATTACTTCTGAAGATGTTTCACTCTTCTTTCTGAACAGCGACCGATGAGACGATGACTGGCTGATTGATGCCTCCGCGAAAATTGGGGAAGTTGATTTTGAGCAAACAACCATGAATTGATCGTTCAATCGTCAACTCCATTGACACGAACCCGGCAAAATACCGATCCATCACTTTTTTCCATCACGACCAATACACGTTGACTTGGATGCCATTGCGAGAACCTGGGTCACACGGACAGAGCTGAAATGGAAAACAAACAGAAAAGCCAACACGCCACAAGCATACCCACAGCACAATCTCACAAATCGCTGACGACCTGCGCCTCCAGACAGACCTCCTCTCCACAACTTGCAACACAACCGCCACTTGCTAGAATGACTCTTCCAGAATGCAACGTGACCACAGCACCAACTCATGATACTCTATCCAACAATGGCTTATTAATTGCAAATACAGACTTCTTCACAACACCGTTATTGTCACACAATTCGGAGTCAGACCGGGATTTCACATTTAGCTTATCAATGAACTTGCTCACCGGTTCACAGTTCACTTCTGTATGCACCTCTTGCACACGTGTAAAACAAAACCGTGTTTGTCTTGCATCTTGTAACCTATCAGTTGAGGATGTACTACGAATCCTGTTACACTCACTAGGTCTATATGCATTACTAGACATCATGGAGCCTTCTCGATATCCACCTCTCTGAGGCCTACTCGTCATCAATGATTGCATTTTGATCTCAGACTGCTCTATTCTAGGGGTGAGATGTAACAGACTGGCGAACTTGCTCATAGATTGATTGACACTAGTATTTACCAGTTTCAGGATATCATCAAACTTTGGCTCGATACCCTCATCCTCCATACGGGAGCTTATCTTCACCCACTTCCTTTGCAGTCGAGTAGGTAGACGTCTTGCTATCACTTCTAGTATAAAACTCGAGTTAAGGTCACTCATTCGATTCATCGAAATCATTGCATTCTTGTACATTAGCAAATTATCCAAAAACTCAGTGAGTGCCTGGGAGTCATCCTGTAATTGACCACCATTACCCTTAACAGCCTCGAATAATTTCCCTGCAATCATCGAAGGTCTTCCAAACCTTTGACGTAATATGCTCATAGCCTCGTAGTAGCCCTCATTTGGCTTCATAAACTTACAGCACTGTATATCTCTTGCAGCAAATCCAGTGCAATACCTCATCAAATACATTAACTTCATTTCATCAGTAAATAGTAAACTACTCAGCATGATCTCAAACTCCTTAACAAACTGTTAATAATCAGCCGGGTTTCCATCAAAACATCGTGGTTCAAATTTAGGGAGTTTGATATTCCTATTATCCCTGAACGGAGAAACAATAACATCAACCATGTCATACTTAACATCAGACACATCGTTACAATTAACAGACAAGTCACCATGACTTACTTTCCTGTTTGCATCCAAGACACTCTGTCCCTTCTTTGACCCAGGCATTGTTGAACTTGACCCAATTCCAAAAAGATTCCAGATATTGCTTGTTCAAAGAGGACTTGACCGGCACCAGGAAAAATGAACGGAGACTATCCAAACTTTCGCCAACTGTTTGAATCCGCCAGATCTGTTTCCATCGTCAGAAACTGTCAATCAAGTCTCATAAACCGTTAATGCCCAGCTCTCGCTACGCTCGGGCCCACGCTGTTCCTTTGAGTTTTCAGAAACGCTTAGTTATAACGGACGCAAATACCAAAACACCGATCTGCCGCTTGTTATTTCTTTATTGTTACACCAACATATAAAAAGAATAAGCGAACTAAGTAAACTAAGGTCTGAAAACAAATATTACAATAATAAATCATTGTATTACTTCTGAAGATGTTTCACTCTTCTTTCTGAACAGCGACCGATGAGACGATGACTGGCTGATTGATGCCTCCGCGAAAATTGGGGAAGTTGATTTTAAGCAAACAACCAAGAATTGATCGTTCAATCTTCATCTCCATTGACAACTGCTGTATTCTTTGTTTTTCCCCTCACCATATAATCTAAAGAGAACATTATATTCAACGTTATTGAACGTGCTAGTATTTCTGTACCGCATCAACAATACTGTGTGTAAAATGCCGTGGCAATTTTTCACTTGTATTAACATTACCTTAGCCGTTATCATTATTGTTGTTATTTCCATTCTATATGCTGCATGTTTTTGACATTTCACCTATTGTAAATGTGGAAGATTGTCTGTGTGATTAATTTTATTTATAATTTGAGGAAATAAGATGCGATTTTGTAATTAATACTGAAAACTCCATTCTGTATCACACGTACTGCTTTTGGAATAAAGTAAATCATTATTATTATGACAAAAACAACCCTCCGTTTTGGAATGGAGCATCGATAGAATATACTGACCACATCCCATGCACTAGTTTTTAAAGCCCAGCAATCACCTTAATCTCCTCTTAACCCAACCGTCAGCGTCAAAACATCCGTAGACTAACACTAATCTAACTCGAACCAACCCGAATATCGCCCTTGTAACCACAAAGAACTCCCCCGAATTATTAGCGACAACATTCATCCCTGAACTTTGGATGCAGACCCTCACTGTTGAATTTGAATTGTTTAATTGAAGGTCAATAATCAACCATCCACGCCGTTCTGTTATTTCTGTTCGTTCGAGCATTATCCCTAGCTGGTTAAGCATTCATTCTCTCACTACTATCTGGTCCAGAATAATACTACCCATTTTGACCAATCGCTTCGACGTTTTGCTTTTTCTTTGTCCTACGCTAAACGAATGCTATGGGAGTTGTGAGTACTGGATTCTGAGGTTGTATGCATCGCATTATCCGTGAATGTCAACACACTCAGCCTCTTAACGTCTATTGTGTATTGTATGTTGTCCCAACAGAATATCCGTGTGGTGACTGCTAGATATTCTTATACCAAAATTGTGACGATTATACGGTATATTCTTCACGTCTGAATGTATTTTATTGCATTTCCTGGCGATTATGCTACTTTTGTAAATACAGAAGATAGGAGCCAGGAAACAGATCGCTTATTGAGGAAATCAAGAGATAATTATTTTCATGTACATTATTATTAGTTTTTACTCGCAGAGAAACAGCGTCTTCTGACTGGTCTTTTTCTCACTGGAAGTTAATCTGTCACCAATTTGTGGCCGTTTCTTTGAAGGTCAGACCATATATCTGTGAATTGTATCCACACACAAAGTTTATATCCTTGTTTTTGCTCTTGACCAAGTAAACATTGATATAAATTGGTGTCAATCACTTTTGGCTAGCAGACAGCTGTCACTACGCTCTCATCATCTGAATTCTGATTGGTTGCTCGGAGTCCATTTGAGATTGGTCATGGTGGTTCAAGTTTGTCACTTTATTGGGCATATCTTACTCGTGATTACAATATTCTTTGACAGGTTTCACTAGCTTCCTCACTGAGCGTTCCAAAGTCAATGACCCGGTCGCGACAGTTTGAGGTTTGCCTGTGCTGCAAGCTTAAATTCGCCCAGTCTGTAACAGTAGCACAGAGATCAACAAACACACAACAAAAAAAAGCATCTTCTGACGAGAGCTAGAATGGGAATCCGGTACAGTTTTGGGAATCAGGGTGCGCGGGCAGAGCCTTAACAACCAGCCAATCTGTTTGCTTTCGCTAATATCAAGTGTCAATGAAGTTGAAGATTGAACGATCAATTCTTGGTTGTTTGCTTAAAATCAACTTCCCCAATTTTCGCGGAGGCATCAATACGACAGTCATCGTCTCATCGGTCGCTGTTCAGAAAGAAGAGTGAAACATCGTCAGAAGTAATACAATGATTTATTATTGTAATATTTGTTTTCAGACCTTAGTTTACTTAGTTCGCTTATTCCTTTTATATGTTGGTGTAACAATAAAGAAATAACAAGCGGCAGATCGGTGTTTTGGTTTTTGCGTCCGTTATAACTAAGCGTTTCTGAAAACTTCAAAGAACAGCGTGGGCCCGAGCGTAGCGAGAGCTGGGCATTAACGGTTTATGAGACGTGATTGACAGTTTCTGACGATGGAAACAGATCTGGCGGATTCAAACAGTTGGTGAAAGTTTGGATAGTCGCCGTTCATTTTTCCTGGTGCCGGTCAAGTCCTCTTTGAACAAGCAATATCTGGAACTTTTTGGAATTGGGTCAAGTTCAACAATGCCTGGGTCAAAGAAGGGACAGAGTGTCTTGGATGCAAACAGGAAAGTAAGTCATGGTGACTTGTCTGTTAATTGTAACGATGTGTCTGATGTTAAGCATGACATGGTTGATGTTACTGTTTCGCCGTTCAGGGATAATAGGAACATCAAACTCCCTAAATTTGAACCACGATGTTTTGATGGAAACCCGGCTGATTATTTACAATTTGTAAAGGAGTTTGAGATCATGTTGAGTGGTTTTTATTAAATGAT